GCTAAGGTTTGTTAGGACTATATCGAGCGTATTATTCCCACGTGTGGGGAAGTTTACGAGTTGTTTCAGATTATAACACGATCTTAGTCTCGACACGTTTAACTTATTAAAGTCGCCAAGGATAATAAGGCCACAGTTGGGAAAACGCGACTCTACACGCGACAAACAATTTGAAAGATAGTCCAAGAGAACAGTTTGAGATAGGATGATGAAAGAGAACGTTAAAGAGAACAGTTTGAGATAGGATGATGAAAGATATGAACAAATCAACAAAGACGGCTATAGTGAATGTAGAAAGAAAATGCACACCTTTTACATGCCACACAAGTCATTGATCAGAGAGGATGCAACCACAACCAAAGTTAGGATGGTTTTCGACGCGAGGGCAAAGCCATATCCACTAGCGAACAGTATAAACGATTGCATGCACACAGGACCACCACTGCAACCCCTTGTATGGGACATCATCCGAGCTCGCATATCAACACACATTCTACTTGCTGATATTCAGAAAAAATTCCTGCAGATTGGCATCAGACAAGGGGATAGAGATGCTTTCCGTTTCCTGTTTAACATGAATGACATAGAAAGAAACCTTCGATTATCCAGAGTGCCGTTCATGGGCGTATATTCAGTCCAGTCGGGCAATATTCGGTCCAGTCGGGCAATATTCGCTGAACAGTCGGGCAATTTTGGTTAATTAAAAAAATAAATGGGACAATTTCTGTAAATTTTGCGGAAAATTTTGTGAAATTTCCCCAAATTTTGTAGGTTCCGGACAATTATGGTATGTCCGGAAAAAATTTTTGACCCCTAAAATGGTACATTTTAAAAAATTTTTGACCCCTAAAATTTTTCGGTACTTGTCGGGCAAAATCCGGAAAAGTCGGGCAAATTTCTTGCCGCCCCCCTAAATTTTTCCTTCCGGTACGCCCATGGTGCCGTTCGGCATCGATAATCAAAGCAAGTCCTTTCATGTTGGGAGCCGCCCTACATTATTATTATAACCAAGTAACCAACAGCCGGTAGAGTAACATGAGACTTTCGAATCGATAAGGAGAACATTTGATAAAAAGCAGTAACAATATGGAGGAATTAAAACAGTTCAAGCGAGAAGCCACCAGCATACTTGAAAGTGCAAAGTTCCCCATCCATAAATGGGAATACAATCTGCCAGAATTAGAAAGTGAAGACGTGGTGAACCCAAGCAAGATACATGGTCACACTTAGCAAAAGACACAAGCTAGACATCCTCAAGGTTAATGTCAAATCTCTTCCAGATTATCAACCAGTAACAAAGAGAAAAATGCTCAGCCGAGATATTTACGACTCATTCGGCCTGATAGAAGCCTCCCAGTCCAAAGAGTACTGGTGGAACACCGAACCGCCAAAACCGCTGACAACGGAATGGTTGAAATGAAACGCGACCATCCTAGTAGTGGAAGGAGACAATGGAGTGGTAAAGGGCCTACTGACGTTCAAATGCAGAATCTCCAAGCAGAATACAACCATCCCCAGGCTACAGTTAGTAAGTGGTCAGATGGCAGCGAACACTGGTCAATTGTTTGTACAACAGTATGGATGGATAGTATGGTGGCGTTATATTGGATCACTAACCTAAATATTACCCAATGAATAAGAACTTGACAGATTTGGGGAGCAGGGGATCTGGAGTGGGTAAATTAGTGAATGATGAGTGGTTTACTGGTCCTGATTGGTTACTTGACGAACAGCAGTGACCAGAGCAGCCGGATCTAAAGTGCTCCAGAGAGGTTAAAAATGAGCACAAGCCCTTCAAAGATAGCGTTTTACAATAAATAACGCGACCCGGATGAATGGAAAATACTATAGACAAAGAACAAGTATTGGAGAACTCGTTGAGGTTTTTAAACAATGCTATCACAAAGCGTTATTGCGTAGAAAAACGGACAGGACTATGCACGACAGAAGAGATACAAGTGCAAAGAACCACTAGATTGAGAGAGTGCTGAAAAACATTCCAGCAGACCTACAAACCTCTAGATTTGAAATAATTAAAGAAGAAGGGACAGGAATTCTCAAGTATAAAGGCAGAATACAAGGCAATCAACCTACACTGATACATCGACGAAGGATTATTCGCGGAGAAACGCATCCTACGCACGCAGAATTAAGCGGCAGCTATAAGACACTGTGGCAGCTATAAGATACGAATGTTGGATATAAAACTAAGGTCTAAAGTAGTAAAGTCAAAACGATTATATCAACACATGTAACGTTTGCAAGATGTACAGAGCCAAACCATACGGACCAACAAATACTGCCGCTATGCCCATCTTTCGTACCGAAGAAGGAACGCCCTTTAGACAACAGGAGCTGACTTTTCACGACCCTTGAGTAAATGTTACATACTTATAGACAAAGTCGCACACGGCTGAATATTTTCAGCGAAAGTTAAATACATTCATTGCCAAAAGAACACGACCAGAGTTGTTAATTTTTGACAATGCCAAAATGTTTAAAGCTACAGTAAGTTGGATTAAAGAGTTAAGCAGGAGTGAGCTACTACAAGACTATCTCGCCACCAAGCAAAATATAAGATGGCTTAATTTTTCCATCGTTTAATACGGTACGTTACCATCTGCAAGCGCTTGCTCATCTTACGTTCACAGTCTGATAGAGAATCACCGAGGAAACAAAAAACCGCCATCGTACCGGAAATTGGTGAAATCGTGCTCGTAATGAACCATTTACATTATAGACTAAATTTTGATCTAGACAAAAATTTCATGACAGCTTGAAAGAGCATCACAAAATTAGTAATATTTCAAAGTTTCGTTGCGAAATGTTGTAAAATGCGGATAATATAGCCTTGCAAAGTTTGCCGTTTTTCAGTCATTTTGTATTACGCACGGGAAATTGACAGCCCAATCGGGTGTTGGGGCCATCAATTTCCCGTTTGTAATACAAAATGACTGAAAATTGCAAATTTCGCAACGTTATATATATTATCCGCATTTTACAACATTTCGCAACGAAACTTTGGAATATTACTAATTTTGTGATGCTCTTTCAAGGTGTGATGAAATTTTTGTCTAGACCAAAATTTAGTCTATAATGCAAATGGTCCATTGGTGACGAAAAGAACAGAGGAAGTGGAGAAAGGCGAAGGTCGTGCGACACATTCGAGCCTTTCGAGGCAAAGATGGAGTCGCGAGAGGTGTCGTGACGTTATACAGGGGTCACCACATTGAAATACCACTACCTTCAGCTAGTGTGTTGAAAGATACCATTAATTTAATATGTAGAGAAAGAGTCCACAAAGACCAATCCCGATGATGGAAAGGTAACAAGAAACCAAAGACGTGCACAGCTGCAGATGCAAGAATAAAACAGGTTGCTGAGGGGAGGTGCTGTATTGAGGACGAGGAACTATTCCCCCCTCCCCACACACACACACATCCCATAGAACAATTGGTGGCATGGCCGGTAACACTAGAAAATATGTAGTTTTTGAGAGCCAGAGAGCTGATAGTTTATACTAAGTAAACATTTTTTATGTTCATACGAGAGTGTTAATTTATAGTGTCACACGTCCAGTACACTAGAAACCCCCTAGCCTGGGAAATCCAAGCTATTTCGTTTGATCGTTTCTAATTCTGAAAAATATAAATCCAGCCTTTTGTCATCGTAAACAGTTGTTAAATATATACCTTCAGCTGATAACAATGTTACCCAGAAATCAGACCAATCAATTAGCTCATTAAACTCCTCATGATTGTGACCCTGCTTTACGATGTTTTGCAGCCAATCCAATACTTGTACAAGCAGACTTTCTGCCAGTCTAGAAATGTAATAAAACACATTTGTATCGATTTTTTCGTATCGAATCATATCGATTTTTCCCATCGCTAGAAATCGCGGACATTTGAATCCCAAAACATCCCTTACGTCTATGTCCCTTATTACCCCTTTCTATCCCCGAAATTTATTATTCTAAATATAAATAAAAGCATTATAAAAGGATTACAAAAAGGATTATTACAAAATGTAATCATACTAAAAGGATTACAAAATGTAAGCAAGCAAAATAACAGAAGAAAAGAGCTTTCGAATGATATATTTTGGGCCATTTTTGCCTAAAAAATCATCGCCAAACTGCGACATTAGAACCTGATGATTGTGTCTAATAAACGAACCTTCGATTTTATGCAAACTTGGAATGAAGCAAATACACATTGACACCACAGATTAAGATATGCGAACAATTGTTTCGGATACTAATATCTGCATATTATTTAAATTTTACCGCACATTTTTAAGTTCATCGACATTAAGCCGTAGTTTGACTTTGTAAAATGTGGATTATTGTCGTTTTGATAAATTAGTTACAAATCCTGCCCGTACATTTAATTGCGTTGTTGCCCAGTTTTGAATATCGTAAATAATCATTATATTTTGTTATTGGTTTTAGTTTCCTTGATTAGTTCACGGAATTTTGTTTCCACAATGCACAATTTTAATTTTGTATGATTCTTAAAAGATATTTTATGTAAAACTTGGATAACCATCTACATTCCTGATAAAATTTGAATATAAGAGTGAACATGGGGACTGGGGGAGAATGCATGCTGCATTCCAAATGTCCGCGATTTCTAGCGATGCAAAATCTATTGTTGTCGGCTCCTAAAATAGGTTAGCAATCTTTATTCAATATGAACGACCCAGCTCAAAATGTGACAAGGAAAAGCTTGGGCACATTTGTCTTATACTATACATACCGGCAATAGATCACTGGAACTAAACAGATACTATGATATAACTTACTATAAAAATTTGAAATTGATTGCTCACAAACGTCAGTAATTATCTTAAAAAAGTACATGCATGCTGTATGTCGCAAATTTCAAAGCTCACAAATATATCTTCATCTGACATAGCCTAATATGGTCACCTCTTGGACCTGGCCTTTTTTAGCAATGACATACTGGGAGTTAACAGAAAATACAGAAAGAAAGAGACTTGGCACAAGCCTATGATTTATTCAGAAAACGAAAATGTATATAGCTACAGTTCGATTGCTTAAAGTTTCATTTTTTGCAGTTGATCCAGATTAGGTCTAAAATTGTACATATTTTTTTACCATGCACTAAAAACCCGTCTACATTCAGTAAAATCAAACGAGATGCCCAAAATTTGCGTTCAAAATTGAACCTGAGTAGCAAGCAAAAACATGTCTGAGGTTTCAGCGGTTTTGCTGCTCGTATCACTTTACCTTATACCATTACGTAGTTAAAAACTAATACCTACCTTGAAATTTCCTGCGCTGAGTTAGGCGAGATATTGGTGAACCAACCCTTCCTTTTGCTACAAGAAATAATATCCTCCTTAGCTGCTGACGACTTTTTGAGCATAGAGCCAAATAGTTTCTTGTAACATTCTTGGAGGGGCGGGGATAGCCCTTCAATCGTGGCCAAGGCTTCGAGCATTGAAGAAAGTGTAAAATTATTTACATCTTTATTTCTTCTCTCGAATCCTTTAAAGCATGCTTCTTCGATTAAACCAACACTGAAAATGTTCAACCTTTCCAATTCTGCCGCTCGTTCGAATACATCACGAGGCTGACATTGTGATGGCTTATTTGGGTGGTCAGCAAGATCCACTGCTATCCATTTGGATAAAATAGAGACATGTTGATCTTTACCCAACTTTTCCCACCACATTTTATAAAAATTGCTTGTCAATAGATGTAAAAATATATTATGACAATGAGGTTGATTGGACTTCACCAAAGCATGGATGACAGATGTAATTTCTTCAACAGACAGACGATCCTCACGAGACATTTCCTTGCAAAAATCAGAAGAATTTTTCTCCTGGTCACGAGGGGAAGAATCGAATGCAGGAAACTCAATGAAATCCAGAAGTATGTGTGAAAAGGCTTTGATTGACTTATCGTGTAATTCTTCAGGTATTTTGTAAATCTCTGTTAGCGTTTTAGAAAGGCATCTTTTGTGATCTATTAAGATATCTTTGGCCTTCTTTATAACCACGTTTCCAAATACCTCAGTTTGTTCTTTGCCTTTAAGGAACAAGTTCAAGAACGCGCTATTATTGTACAAAGAAACAACAGCGTCCATGTCAGGTGCGTCGAACAAGATTCTTTCGAGTATTTGAAGAAACTTCTCTTGTAAATCTTTCGCATGATCACGGGTCATATGTTGGGTTAACCAGTCTACCAACTCAATATATTTTTCTTGCGAGTATTCCCGACCCTTTTTAAATGTAAAACTTTCCGATATCTGCTTCACGCCAAAGTAAGGGTAAAATGATGTGACATACGAAATCCATCTAGGGAAGCTGCTGGCGTTCACCAATTTGGGAGCGAGACGTATCAGAGAGTTTACTAGAGTTTTTCTAACGTCGTTCCATAGAAAAATTGCCTCTTGCGTTCGTAGGACGCCAAGGAAATGGTCAGCAAACCGCTTACATAAATGCTCGTCAGACTTTCTCTGCCAATCGAAAGCGTTGTTCTTATCTACCAGAGCTAGGAGAGCTCCCAAATACAAACATTTTGGAACATTGTCATTTGTTTCTCGCTCAAAAATCCAACTCACAAACGTTTTTAAAACTTTCGAATCTAGCTGTTGAAAGTTAAAATTCATGCTCTTTATCGCAGTTACATATGCATTGAAGTTTTGTTCATCGACCGTTTCAAAAAAACACTTGCTGTAGCAGATAGTCGCCCGTTCTGAGAAGTCACAAGAATAATTTTTTTCATGAAAACTATCGTAGTTGGTTGATCTTGGTTGAGCTCGTCGAGGTGCATTATCAATTAATGTGGAACTGTTGTGCTTTCTTTCTAACGTGTATTGGTACTCAATGTCAGCAGTGGAAGTGGAACTAATTCTTGCTTCCCATAAATAACCTATTTCATCTTTTGGACATTTTTTTTTTGTCATTTTCGTTGTTTTATCTTCATCATATCTCTTTATGGACGCAGACTTTACCCACTTATTAGTGTACAGGTAAAATATAGTCTAGAAATAAAGAGCGTAAACATGAATATTATTGAGCATTTTTTGTTTACTTTTTGCAAACAACCTGGTGAAATGTTTTAGTTACAATATGTACTGGCTAGTGAGCTATGGAAATATTTTGCCAGGCAGTAACACAGCCATCGTAGTAAGAAAAAATACAAATGAAATTTTGATAACTGATATACGAGTTTTCAAACTGTAGACAAAAAACATGACTTAATATTAATATTCACAAAATAAATTTCAGAATATCAAACCTCCCTTCTATAAATTCCATTTTTCTTCCAATGTTTTGCTTAAATTTTATAGAAAAAAGACTTTGACTTAAGGTGGGGAGGCAAAGTAGGTAGTTAAAGGTCGTCGGTTAACTGAGATCGGTCACGAGCTGAGTTGAGTCGTTACACATTTTTGATCGGCGCAAGTCAATGCACTGTTCAAAACGAGTCGAATCAATAGCTAAACTTGAGTTGAGTCAGGAAATTTGACCAAGTCCACCCCACACTTTCTCTCGCAGCAGTGGCGTAGCAAGCTCGATAATTGGGGGGGGGGACATATTCATATATTCGTGTTCTGCATTATTAATTTATTTTGAAATTGATTGTTTTTAAGGTCTGTGAATACGAATATATGAATATGGTCCATTGCCCCCCCCCCACTTATCCAGCTGGCTACGCCACTGACTCGCAGTCAGTCATTATTTTAATCAATTAATAACATGAAAATAGCGACTCGGGTCCGATGACTCGACTCGTTACAACTCTGATTTTGAATCTTCGATCGACAATTTTTGGAGCATTTTGAGAAATTGGTAAATATTTCCGGCATCGGCAGTGATCACTTCTGGAAATATTTCACCGAATCTCTCTCACTCCAGGTCTATCAATGATGACTAATTGATTATATATTTTGAAACACTGGCAAAAGGTTATCAAAACTGTGCTTCAATTATATAATTATGATCAGGGTCTTCAGGGAATGCTAATATCATAATTCGTTTTTTTGTATCTCACCAGCGTAGATTTTATTGTTACAAGCTTAACTTATAGCCTACCTCTGCTTTTTCATCTATGCCTTTTTTCATCTGATCATCCTCAAAATTAGAAGACGTCTTGGCATATCGTCTGCACAAAAATAAATAGTTACTGATCTTGGTGCACCATACATGCAGCAAATTAAAGTGGCTAATTTAATTTTCCACACTATAAAGGTATATTATACCTATTAATTCAATTATTTCTACTCATTGTTCGGTTAATATACTTGTTATAATTTGTAGCCAACATTATGCAGGTGAAACTGGGAGTTATACCCATTAGCACGTGAAAATACATAATACCTCTTTCATATCTTGCTCATAGCTATTGAAATATTACTGAAGTGTCTGTATTTTGGATAAATTAACGACGATTTTTATTGGCACCTTACTGATTTGTGAATAATTCAAGACTAAAACAGTAGCGATTGATACACCGGGTGGAAAGCGTAATTTAAAAATGAAAATTAAAGCCCAGCAAATGACTTTCAGACAAGACATAACAAAAATATATAATTTATTGGCTAACGTTTCGTTGTATTGTTCACAACATATTCAGAGCAATTAAACTTATTTACAAGCGTGTATTATAAATAGTTTCAAACGGTTACAATATTCAAATAAGCGAATAAGACGAAAGGATGAAAAACAATCTGTCATTAAAAATATTAGTAAATGAAAGATATAATGGTTAATAATTAGAGACCTAGCAAAGCATTAGAATAGGTCATGATGAGTTGACTTAATGTTGGCATTTAAAGTAGGATTAAGCTTGGATATGAAAAGGCTTTCGCGAATGAGTAAATCTGCTTCGGAGCGAGTAGCAGTGGAAAGGATTTTAAAATCAGAGGGTGAAATTTGATGTTTAGTGGTATGGATATAAGCGAGTATGCTTGACAAGGTTGAAACAAAACGTTTCTTTCTAGGCAAAGGTGAAACACCCATGTGTTCCGAGATACGCGTGTGCATGTGTCGGAGAGTTTGACCAATATACAAGCGCACCACAGCATTGACACTTATACAAATACACAACATGCGATCTCGGTTCACAGGGAATTTTGTCCTTAAATAGAAAGACGGAAAGAAGGACGAAAGACGACACGTAAAGAAATATGTGGATAGGCAGAAGGAAGAAATTTCTGAAGTTGTGATCGAATTTGCAAACCACGATGACCAGTGAAAGGAAGACAAAAATCAATATGGCTTTTCAGGTGATCAAACTGATTATCAATTTCCCATTTGTAACACAAAATGACTGAAAAACGGCAAACTTCGCAAGGCTATATTATCCGCATTTTACAACATTTCGCAACGAAACTTCGGAATATTACTAATTTCGTGATGCTCTTTCAAGCTTGGATGAAATTTTTGTCCAGGCTTGTCTAGATCAAAATTTCACTCATAAGGGGAAAGGCCTATTGGTAAACTATCCCGTTGAAGTAGATTTATGATGAACCGTGGTTGAGAACGAATGACTTTGACATCTAGAAAAGGAAGGCACGAATTACTTTCAAGCTCATGAGTAAATTGAATGTTGGGGTGTTTCGAGTTTAGATAGAAAAGGAAAGGAGTAACTTGGTCGCGTGATGTGAAAATAAGAAAACAAGTGTGGCTGCATTTATGTTTTGGTTGTCTGATGTCTTCACATCCACTTTGCTACCGATGATGGCTATTGATATATTACCACCTTCGGTGCATGTTGCATCAGCATCAGAATGTGATTCTGCCATGACAAAATTTCTGCTGCAATTTTAAATAGCATAATTTAAATAATTATTATAAATAGGTATAACCTTTGTTGTTCTTGTTCTAGTTGAATCAGCGAATTCTCTAGGTCATGTGCAATGCAAGGCAGGTACACACGCAAAAATCCGGCTCACATGCATCTTTTAACAAGTTCGATCAACAAGCCGTCAACAAGTTGTCTTCGCACTGCTTGTCGCAAGTTTTCAACAAGTTTGGAACAAGCTGTTAACAATTTGTAACAACAATGTTGATATTATCAGGCTTGTTACAAGGTTGTTCCAACGTGTCCGATACGGTCATGATATAGCAGTATTGTTACAACCTTTTGTCGTCAACCTTGTAACATTCTTGTTTATCATGACTGTACCAGACTTGTTAGAACAACCTTGTGACAAGTCTGATAATGCCATCAAGCTTGTTACAAATTGTTAACAGCTTGCTCCGAACTTGTTACAGCAACTGGGAACAATGAACAAATTTGTAACAACTTGTTTGCAGACTTGTAACAACTTGCGCGTTTTTACGTGTGTAGTGCACAACTGAAACTGCTGGTTCTATCGTTTCATCAATATTGTTTCATCAATATTGTTCGATGTCAACAAATGAACAATAGTTGTTACATTGCTGTTGGAACAGGGGTTGACAATACTTGATGAAACAAGCTTGCTATTTAAAATGGTTGTTCTGCACTGTTGAATCATTATGCATCAACAATATTGTTGTGACAAGCTAGACAATGAGAACAAGTCTTGTTTCTATAGTTGTTCAAGCAATCATCAACAATGGCAATGAATGGCAATGCTTGAATAACAGCAAGAATGAATTTGAACTTGACGAAAACCGATTTTATCGAAGACTTAGTGTTGCGATGCAGAAGCTATGCAGAGCAAAAGACCATGGCGAAGACAACAAAAGATACTTTAACGAGACAAGGAAATGTTGTTAAAGATTTTGTCATTTTGAAGTTTGAAGAGGAAAATATTGAAATAAAGAGTTGATAAGTGTCGTATTTTAAAGAATAAAGTATATTAGCTAAAAGTGTGGTTATTGTAGAATTTTTGTTTGAAAACAATACAATATACGACTTCATGAGACGAAAAATACATGTATAGACTATAGTACTTTAAAGACACAATGTCATTCGATTTCTTGTTTTTACCCAAGCCATATGAGCACTAGTTGAGAAAGTTGTCAATGACAATGTATATTAATATATACAGCTATTTCAATTAAGGTTGTCCACGAGCAAAGCGGAAATGTCGAATCGAGCGCGAAAGGCTGCTGGGAATCGCTAACAAATTAATGAATTTTCAAAGCGGTTCCCAGCAGCCTTTCGCGCTCGTATTCGACTTTTCCGCTTTGCTCGTGGACAACCTTAATTGAAATAGCTGTATGTCATAAAATTTTGCTTTTTTCTTCAATCTGAAATCTGAGTGACCAACTGTCACTTTTTAGTATAAAAACATGATCTATATTATTAGTTAAAAAAAGTGTTGTGGTAGTCTATCGGCAAGTAATGTTTGGCTATAATTCCCCCTACATTCAGTGTAAAAAGCTAGCTGTAGTAATTATGCATGGACATACATAGACATAGTCTAAAAACGATTTCTAAAGTTTTATCTTTTGAGCAGTTGAACTCCCCTTCCCTCTCCTAGATCTATCTGGATATAAGTGCAGACAAGAAACTAAGAAAGCAATATATTAGAACATATTAGGTCTTCAGAGGTTAATTCAGATTTATACAAGTAAAATATCCAAACTGGCCATTCTTCCATGGATCACTGATTAAGTATTGGGGAAAAGGAAGATCCATTGTTTCATTCGAAACACGGAGGTAGGATCCACAGCGGAAGACCAGCAAGGACAGCCGAAAAATGGGGTGGGAGGGTGGGCGCCTTAAACCACACGTCACAAAATGATATTCCCACCCCCACCCCCACCTCTCCATCCCATCATGGCTAACGATCTAATCTCTTTACTCGAACACTTCTTCCCCGTGGCGATCAGCACAAAACAAGCTGTATTGCAGAAAATCCTACCTTTTATGTATTTCCCTCCATTAATTATTCAATAAACATACCCCTTATGCATATTTTAACACTTAATCAGTTCCCGTGGAACATTTTGCCAGTTTGAATAGTAAAAAATCCAAACTGGCCATTCTTCCACGGATCACTGATTAAGTATTGGGGAAAAGGAAGATCCATTGTTTCATTCGAAACAGGGAGGTAGGCTCCTACGCGGAATTAAGCACTGCTTCATACCTCTTCCCCTTCATCTACTTCCTCCCATTCCCCATACTCACGCTCCCTCTACTCAAAATTCTCCCCACTTATTCCCCATACTCAAACTCCCCATACTCAAATTCCGATATTCCAATGTTCCAAATAATCCCAAATCTTAATAGCATTGTATGACACACAATATAAGCACACCTAGGATGTCAATGGTGGAAAAGCGAGGACAAAATCTTTAAAATTGTTAAGGTCCTTATACAATTGCGGAACAGCTGTCATTGAAAATTGTCATACACAGACCCCCTTATCGCTCCCATCCATACTCTCCGATCTTTTGGAAAATTCCGTTGATACCCAATCCCCAACCTCTAGCTTTTCTGCGCACACAAAACATTGCTGGGTCTCTTGAGTAGTAGTAGTACGAAATATGCCAGAAACAAGCAGATGGGACTGATGCGCCACAACCGGTCCCAAGGAGGGTTTTTCCTGCAACTTGTCGCTGCGTGAACCTTTCTATAGCCGCAATCGGATCAAAACCAAGTGTTATTTCCCATGTAGCCACCATACAATTTTTGTACGAAACCGCTTGTATATGGCGGCTGAGTAAGAAGAAGAACCTAACTATCAATCACCCACGAGAACCCCCCCCCCCCACCAAGGGACCGGAAGAAGGCAACAGTCCCGGCACAACTGCGAGAGTCAAACACAAAGAGCTTTAGTAAGCCCTGGGAAAATTGACCCCCACCAGCCCTAAGGGACCAAAAAGAAAACAGGAAAAGCGATGCTGCAGAATAAGAAAAATAACATAACCCCTCCAACTGATAAGGTCACATACGGACATAATGCAACGAAAAGAACAGCTTTCTTTATCTATCTCACAAGCCAACAAGTAATGGAATAGAATTCACGCTAAAATGACGCAGGTAAGAACCAATCTCCTTTCAACGAGAAAACTCAGGTATTCACAAAATATCCCCGTATACATGTAATGCACTGAAATATCCGGTGCGCATTGTATCATATGATAGATTATTTCAACCCCACACGACGAACACTGCGACAAGA